ATTCTAGCACTTTGGGAGGCCGAGGCGGGCAGATCACAAGGTCAGGAGATTGAGACCATCCTGGCTAACACGGTGAAACCCCGTCTCTATAAAAATACAAAAAATTAGCCGGGCATGGTGGCGGCGCCTGTAGTCCCAGCTACTCGGGAGGGTGAGGCAGGAGAATGGCGTGAACCCGGGAGGTGGAGCTTGCAGTGAGTCGAGATTGTGCCACTGCACTCCAGCCTGGGTGATAGAGCGAGACTCCGTCTCAAAAAAGAAAAAAAAAAAAGAAAACAGCATGAATTACATCCTCACATTGCCCACCCTGCTGACCCTCCTCTCCCCTACTGAGACACTGAAGGGCCTGGAGCACTGGCAAGGGGTTCTCACCACCAAAAATGACCTAGCCCAGGATGTACACTTTGTCCCTACAGACAGGAGAATTCCCTTCTCCACCGGGGAACTCCAGATGGCCAAGCGGGCGTGGGTCATTGGAGCACTGTCACCACAAGAGCCCAGCCTGGTGACCCTCTCTTCCCACCCTCCCGCTCTCCGCAGGCAGCACTATCAGGGATGAGCAGAAGAGCTGGTGACACCAGATCAACCACACACACTAAAATAGTATCAGAGAGGCCCTGAAAATTAAATTGTAATTGGAACCATGGCCCCCAGAGTAGGCTAGAGCCTTCCTGCTAGACCTAAACAGGGCGGCTGGATTTAAAATAGGACTCAAGAGTCTCCTAACCTAAAGGTCAAAATGTCCAGAATACCACAGGAGCTCCCTCCTCATACCAAGAACCAGGACAGTCACCACTGGCATGAAAAAAGATGATCAGAAGACCTCAATGCAAAGATGAATCGGTTGCTGGAATTATCTGACAAGGATTTTTAAAGCAGCCATCGTAAAAATGCTTCAATAAATAATCACAGTTATCACTTGACAAACAAAAAATAGAAAATCTTTTCAAAGAAATGGAAGTTACTTTAAAAAGAACCAAATGGAAATTGTGAAACTGTAGAATTGGCTAATATAAACCCCAAAAATGGACTCAGTAGTAGAGTGGAGATGACAGGAGAGAGTCAATGAACTTGAGGACAAAAAAATATAATTTACCCAATCTGAGCAGTAAAGAAGAAATAGACTGAAAAAGCTAAATGAACACAGCCTCAAGCACAATAAGAAAAGATCCAACATTTGTGTCATGGAAGTCTCAGAGGAGAGGAATAGAGAGTGGGACTGAGAGAGTATTTAAAGAAATAATGGCTGAAACTTGCCAAATTTGTCAAAAGACATAAACCTACAGACTTAAGAAGCAGAGAAAAACCCAAATAAGATAAACCCAAAGAAATGCATGCAAAAACACACCATAATTACATTTCCAAAAACTGAAGACCAAATATCCTGAAAGCAGCCAGGGAGAAATGGTAATTATCTGTTGGGGAGAATCAATTCAAATGACAGCAGGCTTCTCTGAAACTATGCAGGCTGGGAGGGAGTGGCCTGACAGTTTCCAAGGGTTGAAAGAAGGAACTCTCAAGCCATGAATTCTAGAGTCAGTGAAACTGTTCTTCAAGAATGAAGGGAAATAAGATATCCTCAGATTTAGGAAAAGTACAAGTATTTGTCTCTAAAAGACCCACCCTTAAAGACTGACTAAAGGAAGTTTCTCAACAGAAAGAAAATGGCAAAAGAAGGAATATGGGAGCATTGGGAAAGAAAGAAGAACAGACACATAGATATATACAATATACTACTCTCCTTATGAGTTTATAAAGCAGATTTGAGGATTGAAACAAAAATTATACCAGCAGGCCAGGCACAGTGGCTCACATCTGTAATCATAGCACTTTGGGAGGCCAAGGTGGGAGGATAGCTTGAGGCCAGGAGTTTGAAACCAGCCCAGACAACATAGTAAGACCCCACTGCTACAAAACAAAAAAATAAAAACGAAAAAATTATACCACCATCTGATACTCAAGACAATGCTGTTTTTAAGTGGGGAAGGTAAAGATATCTACATTGAAGTAAGACTTCCATACTTCCATACTATCCAAAGTGATAAAATGTTGATACCAATAAATTACATGTATATTGTAAAACCCAGAGCAACCACTGTAAAAATTATGCAAAGAGATAACACTCAAACATGCTACAAGTCTGCATGTTGTGGAGATAGTGCGATGGTAACAGTATGTTTCTTGAGCAATTTACAAGCCGGCCTGCTATCCCAAGAGCTTCACAAACACTATCTTAGTTAATTTTTACAACAATGTTATGTGATTGGCAGTATTAGTCTTATTTTATAGGTAAGTAAATGGAGGCTTAAATATGTTCATACATTTGTCTAAGCTCTTACAACTTACAAGTCGCTGAGCTGAGATTTGAACCTACGACAATCTGATCATTACACCTATTGCCTCAGCTCTCTCAAAGAGTCTACATATGTAATTTGGTATGTCGTTGGGAGAAAGCAATGGCCACAGTCCCCTTGGTTCAGAAAAATAAGTGGAATTAAGTGCAGCCCATAAAAGCCACTAGTTTCTCTTCGCACCTGTCTGTAGAAGCAAATAGAGATTTAAAATGTACTCAGGACACTTACATAGCTGTCAGAAGTTACATAACAAAGAAAGAGGGGTAAATCTAAGCATTCCTCTGCATACCCAGGGTGGAAATTCTTCCGGAGGTAAGCACAGAAGGATGGAACTTCACTTCCATCTGTCAGACACTCAGCCATAAATCAAAATTTGGAAAAATGGACATGTTACCATATACATGAATAGTTCTTGAACTGGTATCGCTCCCGACAATCTGTAGCATTCGAACTTATTGTTAAAGAGCAGAAAGTAGCTGTTCTAGTCATCACAGTACTGTAACACTTGGGAAAATGGAGCAGCACCAGCTAGCTTTTAAGAAAGAATTATCAGCAAGTACTATGCAAAGCGAAGGATCAGGCAGGGAGAACTCCCATCATAGAAGTTCTGTTAATAAGAAAGCTTGTTTGACAATTTCTTGGCTTTTTATATTTTTTATTCTATTCCTCCTCCTCCCTTTTTCTAAGGTATGCCATGAGACTAAAAACCCACTCAGGCCCCAACGCCACACCAGAAGACAAACAACTGGCTGCATTATGGTGAGTACCCCTCTCCTCTTAGAATAGCAGCCCCAGCCTCGCATGCCGTCACTGGCAAACCAGGTGCTGAAATGCATAGTGTTTGCCCAGTGTCTTCTAACATACAAAGCCCCAGAGCAGTTCTAATGACCTGGGAAAGTCCAGACCATTTTTTTGCTGCTGTACTATACATGATCTGAATTCACAGTGATTGAAAATCGACAGGCCTCCCAAAGTGCTGGGATGACAGGCACGAGCCACCGTGCCCGGCCTAATTTTTGTATTTTTAGTAGAGACGGGGTTTCACCATGTTGGTCAGGCTGGTCTTGAACTCCTGACCTCAGGTGATCTGCCCGCCTGGGCCTCCCAGAGTGCTGGGATTACAGGCTTGAGCCATCGCGCCCAGCGCAGCCACTTACTTTGAAAATGATGCCATAGAAAAAAGGGAACGATGGGGTCATCTATAGTTCCTTTACCTGTCAGCCCTTCCTTACTCATCAGTAGGTGGAAGGCAGAGAATGTTGATAGAATACATGTCTATCAAGCAGTGAAATAAAGACAGTTAAATTAAATAATAATAATAATAACAGCAACAGACACAAAAAAGGTCTCAGATTGTTACCTGTCCTGGGTTTGGTTTGCTAGGAGGAGATGGTGCCATTGTACCCAGAATGTTCACACTCTGGATGTCGAGCATGAGATCCGAGTTAGCAAATAACTGAGTGAAGAGCTGCAAGGAAGAGAGGATACGTCTCAGAAATGCCTTTTGTGCCCCTTTCAAACTTTAAGTCCCATCTTGGAATAATACACTAAATGACAGTAATAATGTGATATAAGATAGAATACTGATGGAAGTATACAGAATAGTATAGGAAACAATAAAATGATGGCACCCATTCCCAGCGTAGTGTTTTTATTGTTTATAAAGTACATTCATGTTTGCGACTTTAGTGGAGCTGGTTATGGTTCAGTAAAGTCAGGTGGCAGCGCCGTCCTTTCCGCAGAGCGGGGCTGGCCCGGGAAGCAGTGAAGGCTGCGTGCTAGAGCTACCTCTCGCCTCTCGTGGAGAGACAGTGCCCTCTCGTGGTGGAAGAGGGAAGCGGCCAGCCCCTGTGACCCAACAGTGATTCCGTCATGCTGTAGAATTACCTAGTGGTAAATGCATTTATGGAATACCTTCTTGGAATGTTGAATTCTGTTTTTGGACAAAAGATGTTCACTCACAGACATTATATGCAGATAGAGAAAGATTTCCTATACAGAAACAAGGTTTAGTTATTGAGTGCCTTAGAACAAACAACAAAAATGTTTAAGTCTTGTTTGCACAGGACGCACTCAGTCGCTTCTGGGCCTGTTTCTCTTTTCGCCTGCAGTTACCGATGCCTGGCTCTCCTGTACTGGCGGATGTTTCGACTCAAAAGGGACCATGCTGTAAAGTATTCAAAAGCACTAATTGACTATTTCAAGGTACTGTCTAGTGAACGAGCGGAGTTGTTCCTTAAATTCAGTTGTCTCCCTGTCAAGGTCATTTGTGGAGCACCTGGTAGAACCCATTGCTTTGGAGCTAATGCAGGTCACCTCTGGTCCCCAAGCTAACCCAATTGATGCCACCCTTGTGGCTTTCAGGACTCAGAATGGGCCTTTGAGAGCCCATCTAATGTATCTCCCTGCCTTGTCCAAGTTTTTTTTTTTTTTT